CCTGCCGCCTTCCCGGGCCCCAGGCCGGCTGCCCCGGCCCGAGAGAGTGAATAAAGGATCCTTTCTTAGGCCCTGAGACACCCTGCGGCTCACACGCAGACAGGCACCGTCCTGACTGGACCTAGAGGGCAGGTGGGGTGGGGTGGAATAGAGGGAGGTGGGCTTTGGTCCCCTCTGGACCACACATACCTCTCAAATGTGTAGTGACAGAGCAGAATGGAAAGGGCAGCCGAAGGCTGGCCTCCTCTGGACAGAGGGACGGTCAGAGGGAATAGGACTGGTGTGGTGGGAGGCGTTTTACTCTCCACCCTCTGAGATCTTGCCCCAGACCTGTGGGAGGTGTGAGAGGGGTGGGGGCAACCCACAGAGGAGAGGACTGAGGCCCCTCCTCTAAGGATCAGTGGGGTCTGGTTTCACAGCCAACTAAGTTTTGTTTTTCCCGTTTCCATGGCGGCAGCATGGGGATGGGGGCAGGGAAGAGAGGGCAGGAAGAACAGAGAGAGGGGTCTCACTGGCCCAGTGTCCTGGGCCTGCTTGGGAGAGAAGTTTTCTCTTGTGCTTGCTGCAACAAACTTTGGCGCCTGGGATGCCACAGGTACCCTGGTGCTTCTCTGTCTGCATGTGACAAACCCCAGTCAGGGATCTGTCTCTACAGTGGGCAGGCTGCTGGCAGCGAGCAGCGACCCTGGGGGCTTCCTCTTTCCATGCGGGTCGGTCAGCAGGGAGGCTGAGGGGCCTAAGGGTGAGATGTCTGTCCTAAGGTGCCGGCCTCCTCCTGCATGGGAGCTTGGGTTGCAGGTGTATAGGGACGGGTTGAGGGGGTGGGGACTAGAGGCCACATTCCAAGTGCAGATGGAATCTGAGCTTTTTTTCTTTTTCTAACCCAGGAATCATATTTATTCACAGCTTCTCATTGGTAGTGAGAAAAGACTTTCCAAACCCTTGATTAGTTTTGCTGGAGAACTAGCTGGAGAGGGAGTGTCTGTCTTTAGAGGAAGAGGAGGCCAAGGCTGATGGTTCCTTCTTCCCTGTCCTCTGCTATTGCCACCTCCAGTCCCAGCTCCAGCCGCCTTCTCCCCAAGAAATTGTCTCTGTAGTCTAACAAGGTGCCTAAACAGCTACCCTGTAATAATGTTCATGCACTTGATTCCTGATGGGATGTTACATGTTTTATTCTGTGTTCTATGTTGAGGGGTCCCCAAGCTGTAGGCCACACAGCAGGAGGTGAGCAGAAGGCGGCTGAGTGAAGCTTCCTTTGTATTTACAGCCAATCACCATTGTTTTCTTTACAGCCCAAGCTCTGTCTCCTGTCAGAACAGTGGCAGTATTAGATTCTCATAGGAGCATAGATCCTGTTTTGAACTCTACATGCAAGGGATCTAGGTTATATGCTCCTTTGAATCATCCTGATTCCATCAACCCCCAACCCTGACCATGGAAAAACTGTCTCCCACAAGTCCCTGGTCCTGGTTGGGGACCACTACTATATTATATATGAATCGTTTGGGCTCCCTAGAAACAGTCCCTAAACATGGATTTGAATGCAAGAGGTGGTTGGGGAGGGTCATCCTAGGAAACATGGATAGGGCATCGAGGAAGCAACAGGCAGAAAAGAAAGCCAGTAATGGGGGGATACAAAGTGGGCTGTCCCGGAGGTCATCTGGAAGTTAGTAGTACCTTAGGACCTCTGGAAGCCATAGGGCAGCAAAGCATGCCTCAGAACATCCCACCTCCGCCCATCCCAGGAACAGGAATGTACCTCAGACTCCTCCCTCACAACCCAGGCACAGGAAGTCAAGTGTTTGATCACTAATCCCCTGTCATTGCAGCCAGGGCCTCCCAGGGACAGCACCCCTTGGTAGGTCAGCTTGCCCTGTGGGTGTGAGCATATTACTCCCCTACAAACAGCAGTAGTGAGAGGAGCCATTTAGAAACCAATGACAACTTGATAGAGTAATTTTATAACTGTAGAGTATAAAGATGAAAATCTGGAGTTTGTGCTTTCTATTTATTTTTTACTTCATTTTCCTAGAAATTTATTATTATAGTAGCTCACAACTGTATGGGCCTATGACAGATCCACTAATTTGAGAAGCACTGGTCTAGGGCACCAAGACCCCAAGCAAGTCATCAAATAGAAAAATAGACATAAGAAAATGCAATCTGTGCTACGAAGAAGATGAGTAGGCATTGACCCTGTTTGAACAGGGGGTCAGAGATGGCCTCTTGGAGGAGGCACTGTTCAAGCTGAGAACGGACAGATCAGGAGTAGTCAGCCATGTGGATATGGGGAGAGGGTACTCTAGGCAGAAGGGACAGTGCAGGCAAAGGCTGAGCAATTGCAAGAACCCTAACCAAGGGTCTGAGAAGCTGGAGCAGAGAGAAATTAGAAGTTCCCACTGACTTAAACCACAGAAGTGACTGGATGGTTCCAGTAATGGAATATCCAGAAATAAAATGAGCTTCAGGGAAGTTTCCATACAGAGGTTTAGAATTATTCTAGAGGCCATGCCTTCCATCATGCTGGTTCTACCCTCAGACTGGCTTCCCCAGCAGTGGCAACGTGGCTGTATTAACTTTCCATTTCTGTTATTGGATCCATTGCTGTTCTTGGATACCTAACAGTAGCAATTTAAAGGAGGAGGGGTTTATCTTGGCTCATGGTTTCAGAAATTGCAGTTCATGGTGGTTGGGCTCCAAGGCAGGATGTCATGGTGGAACAGTTTGTTGGAGCATAGCTGCTCACCTCATGGCAGCCAGGAAGCAAAGAAAGAGGGAAAGTGTCCGAGAGGAAGGGGCTGGGACCAGATAAAGGCCCCGAGGTCCAGTACCTGTGATCTATTCTTTACCTAGACCCCACTCTTGTTTGCATCACCCCCAATAATGCCATCATATTATGACCTCATCAGCCTCATGATTCCATCACTCCCCAAAGCTTGTCAGCATCCAAGCCTTTAGCATGTGAGTTTTGAGGGACATTTCAAATTCCAATCATCATAAATGGCTGATGCATCTCCTACTTTTACAGTTTCTCCCAGCCTTGAGAAGACCAGGGGCCACTGGCTTCCAAGAGTGGTCTCAGAATGAGTGGCCACATGTCCCTTAAACTGCCCCAAGTGGGTGGGCCCAAGTGGGTCATGTTCTTGACCAATCCCTGCAGCTCAGGCAGCACCAGGCTTGACTGTGTAGTCCTGTGGCACTGAGCCAATCCCTTTGGTAGGAGGATAGGATGACTGGGGTTGGAGTGTGACAGTAAGGTACAGAACACTTTGGTGCCCTCAGTTGAGGAGGGAAGTGCTAGTCTTTGGCTCTGGCTCCAAGGCTAACTTCTCTACACCCCGTGCCTTTCCCTCTAGGTGGACTCACTGTTCCTAGAGTACAGCATGTTATGAAGAAGCCTCAGGTGTGTAAAGCACAGTTTAGCATCAGTTCTGCGGGAAGAAGACACAACCTCCCTCAAGAAGCTCTTGGAGAGTGGTGGGAGGTATCAAGACAGTGCTCATTGCTCCTTGGACAAGGCCTAGGCAATCCCTCCTGGCCCTCAGTTTCTCCTGTTGTCCCATTGCACAGGGAGAGCCAGGTAGTGCTCACATTACCTTTTTTGCTATAGCTGCTAGGGTGCTCAAAGCATGTGTACTCTAACTTTCCTCAGGTGCCATCTTCTGGGATGCCTTTCCCCTCCTCTCTGGCATTGCAGCTGCTTCCTGCTGTCTTACTTTTAAGGCTCATAATGCCTAGGCTGTACATACCAATGATTCTAAATTATTTTTGGAAACTGGAAGAAATCATCTTCCTCATCAAGCCACAGATCCTGGCTCTGGATGGCTATTCTTCACCCCATCTTCTCCCTACTGACTTGCCAGAGGTCTCTGCCATGTTTTCTGAGCAAGCCTAGGAGTTTGTGCTGGAATATTGTGGGCACAGCCCAGCCCAGGCTTTTAGGTGCTGGGCTTGAATACAGATCCTCTACCATGGACTCTGCAGCCCTTGGCCATCACTGCTGCTTTTGGGGATTTGGGGTTGTCAGCTGAAAACAAGGGTGTGATGAGGTACTACTGGTCAGGACTCTGGGCCCTGCCTAGCACAGTGACAGCCTGACAGAGAGAGGGCAGCTGATTTCACAGCTGTCCACCCAATCTTCCACACTCAGGCTGGCCCGATTGCCTTCCTGAGCTAAGAAGGCCACTGGCTTCTCCTCAGTGACAGATTGCCTCAGCTTAGACAGAAAGCTCAGGAGTCAGAAGCACATTGGTTCCTCCTGGTAGCAGCTGTGTAGCCTTGAACAAGCTCCTGGCCTTACTGTGGTGCGATCTCCACACCTGTAAGGTCTCCAGCGAGAGCACCTGCTTGCACTGAGTTTTGTAAGCAGAGTCTTCTGTTGTGGATGGAGGCTGGCCACCTCTCCTTTGCCCAGTGGTGCAGGGGCCCTGGATCCAGGTTGGGGTGACTGTCTTATCATTGTCACCATGGCATGTGTGCAGCAGGTGCTCAATTAGTATTTCCTGACCATGCCAGATGAACAGAGGGGCTGGGCATCCAGAGGCCATCCATTCTGGGCAGAGGAAGGGCTGTGAGGGGCAGGAGCCTGGACAATACAGAATTCTGAGATAGGGTTTCTTATGCCCTTTGATGTTCAGAGGAGACAGGTGTTCCCTTTGGTTCCTAGGCTGCTGAGAACAGGGGTTAGGGCACCCCCACCTTCCGTTTTCTTGCTAACAGACTCTGAGGAGCGGCAGGGATGTTTAATTAATTGCAATTACAATCTTCAAAGGAAGCCTAGAGTTGAAAGTTGTTCCTAATTACCGTGTTATGATGTCGGCCGGCTCCCCAAATTGATTGTGTTAGACTTTCCGATGCAGGATTAATTGAGTTGCAGTAAGGACCCACTTATATCCCTCCCCTTCCGATGCAGCCCATTGTTCAGCCTGGCTAGGCAAGCTGGCTGGAATGGTAATGAGGGTGGGGGCGGGGCAGAGGGGGCACCACTGCCTGGATGGAGAGCTCACTGCCAAGGCTGAGGCTGAGGGTATTGGGTCTGGAGGTCAGATGGGCACCATGGGGTCAACAGTACAGTTCACCCAATGTCCTACTCGGGCCTCTGGAACTTCTGAGGTGGGGCTGCTCCCCTGTCTTCTGTAGGGAGACAGGTGGGGGTCAGTAGGGAACCACTGCTGTCCAGCGAGATGTGGGCATGATGATACCTGCCAATTCTGAGCCAGAGCATTATGGTCCTGTGAACCCACATGGAGCTCCCTATCTATCTACCACAGTGACCATCAGTGCCTGAAGAAGTAGCTCCCCTACCCCAGTCCTGGGGTTGGCAGGGGTGGGGCCTACAGTGACATTCCTGAGGCCTTAGGAGTCTTTCCTTCACAGCATAACCCGACTGGAGGCAGATGAAACAGTCCCTCCTGGGAAAGTGAGAGAGAGGGCACACGGTGACCCGCTGCACTTTACTTCCACAGCTGTGGGAGTGTCTTTGGCAGAGTGACTTCCTTTCCCAGGCCTCAGTTTCCTCATCTGTGAGACTGGATCAGGGATGTGTGAGCATGTGGCACATATGAGCAGCGAGTTGGTGTGGCTCCTGTCCTCCTGTCCTTGTACCCAGCCTTCCTTTTGCAGAGACTTTCCGAGGACAGATTGGGGCCTGGATTCCTGGAGATGGCCATTGCACCACTAGGGAGCCCAGGTGCAGAGAGTGGCTGTGCGGCTCCTTCAGGGCCTGGGGCCTGATTGAGGGACAGAGATGAGGAGTGAGGATAGCTCATTACTGCCTTACAACATTCAGTCTTGAGGAGGATCCCAACCCCAACCCCCAATTCTGTCACACCCCAGCCCTTCCCCCTATTCTGGGGACTTTTGGCCCTCAGGGGGCTGAAAAAAATCTTCCTCCTATACATGAAGCACAGATACATATCATCTGTGGTCTTAAAATTCTGTGGGTACAAATTAAGAAAAAAGGTTTTAGACTCGTTAAACCCTGGGGAGAGCCACTTATCTAGGGGAATACTTTTGCTGCTGTGTTTGTGTGGGAATGGAGCAGAAGTGGGAGGTATTTGGGGTTTTGTGATTATCCGGTGAGCTGAGTTGATCCCATGGGGTGACACCTGGGTACCAAAGATGGTACAGAAGCGACCCAATTCAGGTGGAGCCAGCGGGGTTATCTGAAGATTAGATATTACTCAGATGAAGGCTGGTTCAAAGATGCCTAAGGTTGGCACTGGCCGTGGAGGTTGGCATTGCTATGGCGGAGATGGATCTGGGAGAGCTGGTCTGGGGAGGCTGAGGGAGCTTCCCACTTGAGGAGGATCTAGGCTCAGCAAGGAGGCAGGACCTGGGTGCTGGGGCAGAGGTGCTGAGTGGCTGCAGGAGAGGTGCCTCTGGCAGGCCTCAGGTTGCTCATCTGTAAAGTGGGCCTGCAGATGCTTGCTGGAGTGGAGTGGCTGTCCTCTTCTGGTGGGGACTGTCCCTGGCAGTAGCTGCTGAGCGTGTCTGCAGCGTGAGTGGCTGGGCTGTTGCTGTGGCGATGAGTGCTCCCTTGGCCCTTTAATTACTGAGCACTAACGAGCCCTGAAATTGAATTAAGAAGAGGAGCTGACAACTCGGTATCCTGTCTTTTCTCGAGCCTTGGGGGAGGATCAGGAATGTATGGGACAGATGGGTGATGGGGAGGGGCAGTTACAACAGCTGGCGCAGGGGCATGGAGACCTAGAGAGTATTTTGGTGTTCAGTTGAGCAGGTGGAGTCTCCCCCGGGACCCAGGAGAGGGGAGGGGACAATGGACTGATCCCACAGTGATGTGGGGGACGTGTGTGTATGAGAATGCCACAGTCTCAACCAGGTGGGTCCTGCTGTTCCCCCACTTCCCAGCTGTGGAAACAGAGGCACGCAGCAATGACAGGCAGTTTCCGGTTCCAGTGTCTGGGCCCCTAATGACTGCTCTATGCCCAGGCCAAAATCTGTGAGTCCCAGTTTTCTATCTGTGAAGCGTGTGTGTGTGTGTGTGTGTGTGTGTGTGTGTGTGTGTGCGTGTGTGTGTGTGTGTGTGTGTGTGTGTGTGTGCGTGTGTGTGTGTGTGTGTGTGTGTGTGTAACAGGTATCCCCTGGGAGGATAGTTGTGTGAATTAAGGGATGCACATTGTCCCTGCTCAGCCCAGAGCTAAGCTTAGCCTTCAGGGCTCCCCAGGTCTCCTCATGTGTGGGAAACTCACCCAGGCCACATGCTCATGCCTGCTTCTGGGACTGGTGAAGAGCCACTGGAGTCCTCGGCCCTCTGCCCCAGGCCTGCCATCCACCACAGCAGTATACCCTTTGCCCAGGCCCAGAGTGTTGGAAAAAGCCCCAGGGAGAGCCCCCTGCCCACCCCCATGAAACCACGCACATTCTTCCCAAGCTGTGAATATGTGAATGTTGCCCGCCCTTCCTGTGCATGGCTTCCTCCGCTTCTGCAGCTGACTTCTACATTAATCATGGCTAATTGCTAGCGGGAGTCATTTATGTCAAGAGCCATTATTCCTGGGAATAAAGAGAAATATAAAATGGTTCCTTCCAGGCAGGCTGGAGTGGCCTAAAGAGGAGGAGCTGTGCCAGACCCCAACAGGTCCTCAGGCCGGACCACTTCTAGTGGTTCCAAAGCACATGTGACAAAATTGAGACCCCTGGCCTTTGCTGAATATTCAGGCAAATGAGCACATCTATCATGTTCTCAAGCTTTTCTAAAGTTGTCGTGAGTTTCCTTGAAACCATGAGGGTTTTGTTCTTTTTTCCTTTTTTTGGCAACAACAGCTGGGAATAAGTTGACACCTTCTGAACACTGCCACTTACCGCTGGGGAGGGGTGTAGAGAAGGAAGCCCACGCATTCCAAGCCTGCAGTCCCAGGCCTAGGCCTCAAGCCAGGAGAGGAGCAGGCCTCAGTGTATCTAGAGCTTTGGGTGGGGTCCTGAGCTTATCAGAGGTTCAGTGGGGAGAGCGGAGCAGCTCAGGAGTCCTGGGGCTGAGTGGGCTGTGGATGTTGTCTTGTGAACTCTGGGGCTGCCTCCCCTCATAGGACCCAGATGGGGGTGGAAGAGAGGAGTTTCTGCATGTTGTGCATTTTTAACACTTTCCTCATGTTTTCATGTTTATTTGAGTATGTCTTAAATTAGTTTGTTTACTGAAATTTCGGCTATTATTTTCTTGCAGTCAGGTCTCAGGCCTGATATCTCCTAATATTGACTGAAGCCACACACAGGGGTAAAGCAAGGCATTACCCTTCCAAGGGAATTCCAAGGGAAGTGTGGTGCCCCTAGCACTCTGCATGTGTAAGTGTGCAGTTTTTGCTGTGTGAATGTATTGTTTGCTTGTATCATGCACACACATGTATACTTGTGTATATTTGTGTGCACACACATACACTGTGTGTG